CCACCAACCCTGTGATTAGTGGACGACCCGCTCTACTTACTGAGCCATAGCCACCTCGGCTACAAAATCAGTTACTCAACCAACAACACACAGCAGACGTTAAGATCTCTGTACTTGAATTATTTAATCAGATACAGTAAGTGAATAAACCCTGAATATGTTTATACTACACTATCAGAGCAGTCGGGAGTTGAAGGAGTGAGATAAGGCAGTGTGTCAGTGTGTGGTGTTTAGACAGAGACACAGACACATAATGAGTCCCTGCTGACTGACTGCCAGCTTCACAGGCCTCCATCTGGAAAAACGACATACCGTTAACTCACTCTCTCTTCTGTCTGTCCTCTTTTGCTCTTTTAATGTTATCTCTATTTCAGTCTTTTGTACATCGTCACTCATCTGCTAAACATCCTGCCGTGGCGCTTTTGTACACTAATATCATTGAACTGACAGACCAGTTGGTGGAGTACAGTAGAAGTGCCCTACCTGAGTTCAGTGTTACGTCTGTTTCCTCAGTCTGTGTGTGTGTGTGTTGTGTCCCTCTGCAGCCGGGGAACTACAAAAGGACAGTGAAGCGAATAGACGATGGTCACCGGCTGTGTAACGAGGTGGTCAGCTGCTTCCAGGAGAGGGCGAAGATAGAAAAGAGCTACGCTCTGCAGCTGAGCGACTGGGCCAAGAGGTGGAGGGGTGTCGTGGAAAAAGGTGAGTTGAAAACACTGATCATATGAGGGGGCCGGCTGCAGCAGGCAAATGACACCAAAAACCTTTATGATTAAATTATATATTTATGATAGTTTACTTTTGGTGTGTTTTAGGGATGTTTAGACTTACAAGGTTTGCAAGCCGTTTAATATAACTGCAAAGTTTCACGTGTTGCTGCAACTAATTTCTGAAATAATCCCTATTTTATCAGAAAAATGTCTATGGAGCTCCATAAAAATGTTATAAGAAACACTTGTACACATGTCACCTTTTAGTGCTTAACATTAATTGTTGCATAAAATTTGTCAAAGCACTAACACCAAGCTACTGCTGACAATGACCCTGATGGTCTTCATCAGGGTCAGTGTCTGTGGGTTGCAACACGTTGGTCATTTTAAATGCATATTTCCTTGTAAAATGAAAGTATTTTAATTCTGCACTAACTCTGAAGGAGATCTGAATTCAATTTTTTTTATTGAGGCCATATTTTACCCACAAAAGACATTGTTACTTAACATCTGCTGCTAGACTTCAGGGATGATGCCAAAATGATGAACTTTGCTGTTTTGTATAAATCACTTATTTGCCTCAGGTCCTCAGTACGGTACGCTGGAGAAAGCGTGGCATGCCTTTATGCAGGCGGCCGATCGGCTCAGCGAGCTGCATCTGGAGCTTCGGGAGCGGCTGGCGGGCGAGGACAGCGAGAAGATGCGCAACTGGCAGAAGGACGCCTTCCATAAGCAGATGATGGGAGGCTTCAGGGAGACCAAGGATGCAGACGACGGCTTCCGCAAGGCACAGAAACCCTGGGTCCGCAAACTGAAAGAGGTGAGGACTGACTGAGTGGTTTCAGTAAAACTGGATTTATAGACGCAGCCGCAAGGGTTCAATATTGCTGCCTGTTGAAGAGTTACATTGGTTGTTTCAGCTACACTTTGAGTATTTTAAAGCCGGTAGATCCGCTATATATATCAGAGAGGTCTATTTTCACAACTGTTTGAACAGAGTGTGTTAACCAAGACAGAAAAATACACATAAAAGTTAAACTGTTGTTGAACAAAAGTGTTATACCTGACTCTGAATGAGAAGGTTGCTACTTTAAATGGAGCCACTATTACTAAGGTAATAATATTTGACAAAATACTATGATGAGAGTGTGTGAGTGAATCATGTTTCTAAAATACATTTTATGAAGTGGGTCAATGTGGAAACAAGACTGTGTTTTAAGAAAGATAACGAGGTGTACAGTTTGTAACAGGAGCTGTATTAATTACGGCAGCAAATCAAAGTGAATCATTGTGTGTGTGTGTGTTTGTGTGTGTGTCAAGGTGGAGTCCAGTAAGAAGACCTACCATCAGGCCAGGAAGGAGGAGTGGACGGCGGTTACCAGGGAAACGCACGCGAAGGCCGACACAACCAAGTCACAGGAGGAAGTCCGCAAATACACAACCCGAGTGGAGCGCTGCAACCAGGAGGCCGAGAAAGTACAAAGCTTACACACACAAACACGCACACACACACTCGCAGTCCCATGCGTAGCTCCACTTGTATCAGTCTGGGTGTGTCAGTGAGTCCAGAAAAACATACCTGTGTGTTTTTGAATTTTAAACATGACCGGGCTTGTCTCCTCTGTTTTCTGCTCTGCACGAACCCAACGGCACAGAAACGGCTCCAGGTCCTGAAGAGGGAAACGCTGAACCAAAAACAGGGAAATCCTGAGACAAACTCGGCACAAAGAGCACAAAGGAAATCAAATCCAGTATCATGACTCAGTGGTACAGTGCTGAACCGGGCACACGCAACCAGTCTGTGCTCCAGTAAACAGTAGAGCAGTACTGATCGAGCCTTCTTTGTGGGGTTCTGAGGTGATCACAAAGCATTTCAAATGATGGGTAATTTGTGAATCACAACTGAACGCCCTTCAGCCGTGACACTGTTGTATTTGCTTATTCGAATGGATCACTTCCTGCATCTCTTCTTCCCAATTTGTGAATCACACATGGAGGCTTTAATGGTGGAGAAGCTACGAGAAGTGTGGCACAGACAACCGTTGGCTATAGCTATGTGTAAACACTAAGGTTTTTTCATTGAATTAGTTTTATATATCGCAGGGAGGAATAGTATAATGTGAAGCAGCCACTGTGAGCAGACATCAGGCTCTTATTGCAGTTGGTGCAAACCACCACACCTCCAACACGTCATCAAGGTAAACAGCACTTAGCATGCAATCCTGTTGGAGGGAAAACCACACGTTTGTGTCCATAACACAATCTGATTGCAGTCGCTCGCAGCATGTCATGTGACGAAGGTCCCAATTATGAAAAAGACTGTAATGACCTGTTGCCTCTTACATACTTGACATCAGAGAGGAGGAATAAATACTTCTGTATTAAGATAACATGAGATGTACCCCTATATTGATCTAGCTATCTATTCATTAGTGTATAATCACCTGAATATAGGAATCATTGTGTTTTTGTGACCTTAGAATGAGACGTTTTTATTTACAGATGCTGCAGGTTGCCTTCTACTGTACACCATGTTGAACTGCCATGTCTCTACAGTAGCCCAGAAGAGACAAACCAAACACGGGCTCCCGTTGTTTGTCCTTCGCACTTGGCAGGCGAGCAATATTCAGCTGGTCCATTAACAAAAAACATTTATTTCTGAAGTGCAGCACTGCTCAACACCACAGTCACAGCCTCTCACCAGCAGCTGTAGCAGAGTGACTCTCTCACAGTGTGTACACTGCCCACTAACAGACCATCGATCCTTGGGTTTGAAAACTTCTTCCTAAATGCTGACATGAAGGAACATTTGCTTCTCTTAAATCTTTCTGCATATAAGTTGACAAAGCGTTGTACAGTAGCTCAGTGTGTGTTCAGTGTGTGTTC